CTTCTGGTCTTTGGTCTTTAGTGTTTAATGTATCAAATCTGTTCTTCAGATGATCTCTAAATTCAGGTGGGATATATTCAAGTCATATTTTGGCTCCCATAGACTTGTTTTCATTTTCATCAGTTTCAGTTTCAATTTGCACATACATAATTGACGGTCTGTTCCACAGTCTGCCCCTGGCCTTGTTTTCACTGATGATAAGGAGCTTTTCCATCATCTCTTTCTGCAGATGTAGTCAATTTAATTTCTATGTATTCCATCTGGTGAGGCTCATGTGTAAAGTTGTCTCTTATGCTGTCTAAAGAAGGTATTTGAAATGAACAAATCATTGATTTTGCAGAATTCTATCATGCCATCTCCAGCATCATTTCTATCACCAAGGCCACATTTTCCAACTACTGATCCTTCCTCTTTGCTCCCAACCTTTGCATTCCAATCAACAGTAACGATCAATACATCTTGATTGCATGTTTGACCAATTTCAGATTGAAGAAGTTGGTAGAATTCTTCTAGTTCTTCCTCACTGGCTTTAGTGGTTGGTGCGAAAATTTGAATAATAGTGGTATTAACTGGGCTTCCCTGTAGGCGCATGGATATTATCCATCACAGACAGCACTGTACCTCATGAATGATCTGGATATGTTCTTTTTGACAATGAAAGCAACACCATTCCTTTTCACATTCACTAATGTCTAAAATTAGTGAGCTGAATTGCATTTCTCAGTGAGGCTGGCCCAGGATCGGACATTGTTTCGTTCTGCTGTGCATGAGGTCGCTATGAGTCGGTTCCGACTCGATGGCACCTGACAACAATGTCTAAGATATTGATGTTTATGCATTCCATTTCATTTTTGACAACTTCCAATTTTCCCAGATTCATACTTCGTACATTCCATGTTCCGATTTACAGCTGTTTCTCTTCATTTTAAGTTGTGCCCCATCAGCAAATGACGGTCCTGCGGGCTTTACTCCAGTTGTGTCATCACGGTCAACTCTACTTTGAGGAGGCAGCTCTTCCCCAGTTGCATTTTGAGTGCTTTTTAACCTGAGTGGCTTGTTTTCTGGCACTATATCTGACAATGTTTCTCTGCTATTAATAAGATTTTCAGTGACTAAATATTCGGAAGCAGTTCGTCACTCCTTCTTCCTAGTTTGTTTTCATCTGGAAGCTCATTTGAAACCTGTTTACCATGGGTGACCCTGCTGATACTTAAAATACCAGTGGCATAGCTTTCAGAATCACAGCAACTCACAAGCCACCACAGTATGACAAACTGAGAGATGAGTGGTGGAAGTACAGCCATAATGCTCCTAAAATGTTGGAATGCCAGACTTCGTTTCCCAGAGTTTGGATTTGTTACCAGGAGTGATCAGTACCTAAAGAACATTATACTTTTTAAGCATAGGTAGGATCAACTCTGAGCAACACCGAGTTCAAAGGGAACAATTATAAAGGTGCAGGAATGGTCACTGTTTTACTCTTTTGTACATAAGGTTGCTATGAGTCGGAACCAACTACATGGCACCTAACAACAACGATAATACACATTATTTCTGTATTCTCTGCTTTCATCCAACGTCCATCTGACCAGAGTAATGAAATCCCTTCAATTTTTTAATTGGATTTATGACAGTGTCCTGATGATGTACTGCTGCAATAATTTTTTAAAATTATCTTGCATAGGATACTAATGATCTTGTTTGATAATTTACCATTCTGTTGAATCACGTTTCCTCAGATGGGCACAAATATGGCTCTTTTCCAGTTGGTTGTCCAGGTAGCTGTCTTCCACATTTCTTGGAATAGATGAATGAGCATTTCCGACATTCCTTCATTGTAGCATCTCAACTGGTATTCTGTCAATTCCTGGAGTTTTGATTTTTTTGTCAATGCCTTCAGTCCATCTTGGACTTTTTTCTTCAGTACTGTGGGTTCTTGATCATATGTTACCTTTCAGATACGGCTGAATGTCAAGCAATTCTTTTTGGTATGGTGACTCTGTATGTTCCATCCATCTTTTGATGCTTCCTGCATTGCTCAGTATTTTCGCTATAGACTTCCTGCATTGCTCAATATTTTCCCTATAGACTCCCTGAGTTTTTGAATATTTTTCCCATCGAATCTTCAATATTGCAACTCGATGCTTGAATTTTTTCTTCATTTCCTTCAGCTTGAGAAATGCACAGCATGTCATCTCTTTTGCTTTTCTAATTCCAGGGTCTTTTACTATTTTACTCAGTGTAAAAACCAAAGACTGTACAACGGTCTATGATGTTGCCTGTAAGCCATCAAGTCATTTTCAACGCATAGTGAGTCTGTATTGGGTTTCCAAGGTTGTAAATCTTTACAGGCATAGGAAGCCTCAACGTTCCCCTCAGAGTGGCTGGTACATTCAAACTTCTGAACTTGTGGTTAGTGACCCAACTCTTAACCAACTATGCTACCAGAGATCATTATACAATGGTCCGTAAATCCTAACAACTGGCATCTCCCTGTCCTCTTTAGCCTTCTGGCCTCACATTTTCTACTCATCATTCTGCTCTAGACACATCTGCTTCCTTGTTCTCTGTGGATTATTACTCTCACCCAACTACCCCAGAGGCTTTGCACTAGCAATTCCCTTTGACTGGAACACTCTTGTCCTGGATAACCACGTTACTATTTCCTTCATTTCCTAGAATTCCTGATTCAAATATCACCTTCTCAACTCACCATACCGACACTCTGTCTGGCTCTATTTGCACACTACTTACCATCTTCTAACCTACGAGGGGTTTCAAAAAGTTTGTGGAAAAATGGACATAAAAGGCAATAGAATGATTCCATGAACTTTTTGAAGCCCTATCATACTATATAGTATACTTTACAATTAACAATTAACAATTTATACTTTGTATTTAATCATCCTCCTGTACTAGAATATATCGTCCTCATGGGGAAGATCTTTGTACTATCTAGATTAGCCTGTCTTGTATTAAGGGCTGAATGAAAATCTCAGCAGCTGTACACTGGCTTTTCTTCCTGTGACAGTAAACTCTTTTTTTTTCCTTCATTTGTATTTTGTTACTATTTAGAATACACACAGTAAAACATACACTAAGCCAACTGTTTCTACATACATAATTAAGTACAAGTGATGAAATTCTTTTATTAAGCAACCATTCTCACCTTCTTTTATGAGTTGTTCCTTTCCCAGTAATATAAACTCACTGCCCCTCTAAGGTTCCTAGATAAACTGTTGAGTTGCTGCTGTCATTCTGATTCCATATTTTTGTTGTTGTTAAGTGCCATTGAGTCTTCTCTGACTCATAGCGACCCTGTGTAGGGTTTCTGAGAAGTGGCTGGTGAGCTTGAATGTTGACCTTGCAGTTCAAACTGACTTTGGAGTCAAGCTCTTAAAAGAATATAACAATACTTACTAGTTAAGCCAAGCTTTGTTTGGTTTTAAGATAGAGGATATTTTTGGTTTAAGTTTTTTAAAGATTATCACAGGACAATAGCCCAGTCTCCTTGGCTCTAGAACATCTGGACTCCATGGATATTTGAAATTCTATTCTATACTTTTCCACTTTTGAGCAGGATTCACTTTGATCAAAATGTGCATCAATGGCAACCAGTTTTGGTCTCATGACAAAGGAGACAGTGTTCATGAAGGCAGCTAATCACACATTCATGAATGAATTTTTAAATACTTTCATATACAGACTACTTGTAGACTGACTCCAAACCTCTTTACCCTCAATTATTTAGTGCTCCTGCAATTCCCTTTCTCTTGCATCATTATTTTTCCTCTTTCTACTTGATCATTAGAACCGGGATATACCTATCTCTAAGAACTTTCTCTTGTTCATATATTTTAACTGCTACTACCCTGCTTTTCTGTTCTTTTTTACAGTAAAACTAGAAAACTATCAATATTTAGTTTCCACTTCCAATATTCTCATTCTCTAACTTGGCCTCTCACTAATCTTACTCAGAATAAACCCAGAGGCCTTATGGCTCAGTCCAGCCTGGCCTCCACTGCACCTCTGGTCTCCTCTACCACCACTGTCCCCACATTCAGTTCCCATCCAGCTGACTCCAGCTGTTCTGCCTATGTTTCCACATTACTAATGATTCCAAAAGCTATACTACCAATTCTTCATTTTGTTAAAATGCTTCAGTTCTGCACAAAAAACAAATCTCACTAACGTAGTGACTTTCCCAAGGCCCTTCATTTATAGTCTGTTTTCTGACCTTAACTGGAGAGCGTGTCATCATCTCCCCAGAGCCTCGAGGGAATATTCGTGCTTGGGCAATCATTTCCAATACGCTAGTTTTTCCAGCACTCTGATCGCCAACCACAACAACCTATCACAAAACAAATCACATTCATTTACATTTTTCTGACAATTAAATTTAAATAAATATGGAAAGTTGCTCTGACATACTTAGTCTTTTAAAATGTCTAAATATCTAAAGAAATAATTTTTAAAAATCACTATAAAGCTATGATGGCTCATAACAATACAGAGAAACTATACAGCAAAGTATTCACTGGAATATTATTTATAGACAAGATTATTTAAATAACTTGGTAATATAAATGCAATTTCTAAAACCAGATTACTAATTTCTCATTTTTTCACAAATCTTTTCAATAGCATTTAATACTTAACAAACCACATTTCCAATTCAATGAAGCTTTTAATTATACCTGATTTACTCAGCTACTAAAGTATCTTAATATGACTATCATAAGTACGCTGTTGTTGCTATGTGCCGTGGAGTCGGTTCCGACTCATAGCGACCTTGCATAGGATTTCTGAGGCTGGCTGTAAATCTTTAATGGGAGCAGAAAGCCTCATCTATCTCTCCAGAACAGCTGGTAGTTTTGAACTGTTGACCTTGCGGCTTGCAACCCGATTCATAACCACCATGCTACCAGAGCTCCTTAATATTTGATAGCCTTCTTTCATAGCAGACAAATATAAGAAAACTAATGGATCAAAACCGAAGACCAGAAGAGCTGTGGGATGACATCAAGAACATCATATATGAAGAAAGCAAAAAGTCATTAAAAAGACAAGAAAGAAGGAAAAGGTCAAAATGGATGTCAGAAGAGATACTGAAACTTGTTCCCCAGCAGAGAGATGCTAAAGCAAATGGAAGAAAAGAGGACGTACAAGAGATGAACAGAAAATTTCAAAGGTCAGCTCAAAAAGATAAAGCCAAATATTACAACAAAATGTGCAAATCAGAAAACCAAAAAGGAAGAACACACTCAGCATTTCTCAAGCTGGGGGAACTGAAGAAAAAATTCAAGCCTCAACATTCGTTATTGAAAGATTCTCTGGGCAAATTGCTGAATGATGCAAAAGCATCAAGAGAAGATCGAAGTCAGAGCAAACCCCCTTCGAACACTGAGACTCAAGGGGAATACATGAACAGGCATGTAGTCCGGCTGGTGACCACGTTGGTCACCGATAAGGGAAGAGGGGGAAAAAACAGTAATGAAGGTGCGAGCTAGGCCCAACCACATTCAACAGACCCCCATGAACCCAGGTGGAAACCTGGATGGCCAGCAGTTTGGCAAGACCTGGTGACTCTTGCACCCAGAGACAGTGACATGGCCACAGAGGACTAGAGTGGAGAGTGAAAAGTACAGCTGATATGAAGTGAGGGGAGATGCACAAGAAAACCCATACTT